GTATTGGACGCGTATTTTTTCCTTGTTCTCACAATCAAAACATTAGAAAGATATATTGATTTGAAATGTCGCTTGATGCCACTTTTGGGTATAATTGTTATTTAGAAATGACGCCACTCGCAAACTTGATCCTTGGCGTTGACAAAATAAAAACTAAGGGGCTATTATTTTTTGATAATATTACTAACAGGCTCAATAGAATTTATATTTGTATCTTAGATTTTTATTAAATAAAACAAGTTTTTTCATTATTCTGACGACGCATTACTGCAAAATATACGAAACTTCAATAAATAAATAAATTCAGTGCATAAAACCTTGTTTTATTTAATAGAATTCAGTTTACTTAACATCATTCTTATTAGCTCTACAATATAGTAAATAAGTTTTTTTTTTATAAAAGAGCTGCTAACACTCATGTGAAGCTTGACAGTAAGCGCCCACCATACTGCAACTAAAATATTAGAGGATGAGAAATGATGATTTTCACGCTTGTACAGCTGAATCGGTTATGATGAATATTGATATGGAAATACCTAAAATGGATCGGCATTAGCATTTGATCTGAAAACAATGCGTTTTCCGAAGAACATAAAGGATCCATGTTGATAGCGACTTATCCAGATTTTCTTAATTCATTCAGAGTTGTAACCAAGCGGTTGCTAATAATAATAAAAACTCCCGGTCAAACATTATTATATTTAGAAAAGCATATTATTCAGTCGATTTGCAATGTTGCGTTTGTAGCTGTACTGGAATGCTGAATGTCTAGAATACAACTGACACAGTGTCTCTTATTGTTAAAATATGACTTGCAAATATCTCCAAAAAATCCACAATACAGGATTCCGAGTGACAACCAATGTTAATAATATTATATTACTAGACCAAAATTAGATTGTTCAAAATTTTGTCATACTAATATTCTGTGTCATTTTTTGTTTTCTTCATTTATGTTTACAGTTTTATATTACAATCTTCTTATACTACTTAGCCTAAGACAGAATAGGTTTGCATACATTAAGGTTTGGAACTTTTAGGAAAGATCATTTATAACCATTTTTCTAGTTAAGGTAAAGGCTAAAACTCAGTGTTGAGAGTCAAACACGTAAGAATGAAACAATACGAACATCCTGAAATGAATTTCATTTGTTGCGACTTTGTGTTGGATCTGATTTGCAAAAAAATAATGACATGTCATCGTTTAGATGAACAGTAAAATATTTGGATACCAGGCAAGCTTTGAGCGTATTTTTTTTAATATAAATTAAAATTTAGTAATAATTAAGATGCGCCCGAGATTGATTTCATTGCAAGCACTAAGCAACGCTTGCGCAGATCTAAGAAAGATTATGAAAATATGGCAAATCGATACTTTATGCTCTGTAAAGGTATTAGACATGGCTTTTTATGGCATGCCAACCATAATTAAATCGATTAATACTAAATATATAATAAATTATTTATATTGTGATTATGTATCTAATTTCTTTACTATTTATCAATATTATATTTTCTGCATTTCTACAATGATCCTATTTCGATTTGGGTTCTGTAGCTTACTTATTATGTATCATTATAGCATTTAATTTGAAATAAATACAATTAACAAGTTTATCTGCTACCTTATATAATATAGAAATCGTATTAAGTACTGCATACTAGTAATTTGGTTTAGCTCTATGAATGTTTAATATTACACCAGTAACACCAATCTACTGAACTTTAAGATGTTATAATTACCTATATTGTTTTTCTTCAATATTTTTGATGTAATCGTCCACCAATTTTATCCAACACTTGAATGTTTTCCATATGTAATATAATAAATAAATGTATTGACAGTTTAATGACATAGTTTTGTTGTAAACTGAACAGTCGCGGCCTCGTCGGCGTATACAATTTGGCAATGACAATGTCCTAATTTTTATTGAATTGCAAATGCAAGTGTTTTCACTGATAACAGTCATGACTATTTTATTCTCAATAGTATTTTGTGGAATTGTGTTTTTTTTCTCCTGGGCTGCTTTTTCTTCGTAACACTTCTAAAAACTAATATTTTCTTGTCAAATTGTGCAACGACGTTATCACATTCATACATGATGGAAACACTACATTTTTATGTTAATTAATTTATGTCGTATTTATGTAACAATTATTATTACGATATTAGAATACGATCTAGTTTGTACTTCTTGTGTAAACATAAAGATAAATTACATACATTGTAATTATTATCGTTACATTGGTACATATACACACAGGTACATATTATGGAAAGTTAATCAGAATTAATTCTATTCCTGGGGACACTTCTATCTATATGAAAAGTAATTTAAGTTAGTCCAGTTTCTTTGTGTACGATATTTAATAGTATTTAATCGGAAGCTGTTAATTATTTTCGGGCTTAGGTCTACTACACTCTAATAAATTATCTAAATATATTCTTATTAGTAAACTTTTTAAGGTCTATGTTAAAAATGTGACATAAAAAATACATTTTGTCAAAAATTTTATTAGGTAAGTATAACAGACATAATAAAGAGTCACTTCCACGATTCAATACCAAACTGTCAACAAACAATCCGTTAATGTAATTTAATTTAAAATTCATTGTAAAGGCGATAACGGCTAACTTTTAATCTTGTGTCAAGCATTAATAAATTACTTGCTGATTTTCTCTTGTTTGGTGTCATCGATGACTTTAAAACATAATTTGATTGGATAAACATACCAACTCGATTGGTTACTTGAAGTAGTAAAATTGCAGTTATTTTTTAAACCTTAATTATTCACAGCAGCAAGTTTTTGAGTATCCCACAGAAATCTAACATTTTCCGAAATAAAAAGTATCTTATATTTCAATCCAGGTTGTAAACTACATGTGTATTTAATCGGGCTTTCTAATACCTAATTTCTTAATACCTAATTTCGTACAAATCCCTTATCCCGTAATCCCGTAATATTGATAAAAAAGGATAGTACTAACTCTTAATAGTCGTGGTGATTAACAATAAATTAGTTACTTCAAACAAACGTTTTTGATTATTTACATTTACATAATTTAACAACGGAAATCTCCATTAACATTTTTAAAAGGATTCCGAGTATTATCAATTGGTACTGTGTATTACGTACATTCTCTAAAATAATTATATATGAGTCACAATATTAATGTAAGAACGTTATTTATATGATAATCAACATTGTTTTTCCTAAGGTGGATACAGATGGTTGCATTGTGCAGTTACAATAACAGTATTGAATAAAACACAAACCAAATATTTTGATAACAGTTGGTTTTATCATGAATTTTATCTAAAGGAACTGACTAAGCCGAAAAAATAAAGTTAGGGAAAATATTTAAAGTGATCTATTGATAGAAAATAGAATGTCCTGGTTCAAATACAATATTCATATTTATTTTAATAATAGGTAAATTAATGTTTATTAACAGTCATACCAATTAGCCTAGCCCTAAATAAAGCACTGATTAAGCTCGTGTTAAGGGATACTGGGATCATGAATAGTATTTTTTTATAGTCATATATCTGTTTATGTAATAAGGGTGGCAAACAAGCATATGGCTCACCTGAAGGTAAGTGGCCACCATAGCCTCTAGACGCTTGCGATACCAAAAATATCACTCGTACCTTTGCCTACCCTGACCCAGTCTGCTACCCTGTGGAACCCTGGAACCTTACTCACAGACCGAAACACTACACCACCAAAAGGTAGTGTTATTTTACTGTGACCTTAGGTTACTTCTGTCAGACGGACGCTCCAATTCGAGCGGAAAATCCGCTATACTCACAAAAAATACTTTACAATGACTCGAATGAAATTCGATGTCTTTAAATTTTCGAAGGGTTCGCAGAAGAGTTTAGAAAATAATTAGCCTCTCACTCGATTTAGTATTTGAACTAATTTTATATATTACTTTAATCCGACACCATTTCCATTCCCATTCGGTGTCGAGACCCTTGGTCCGTGGGGTCCTAGCGCTATGAGGTTTTTTAAGGAAATATCAAAAAGGTTAGTCGACATCACTGGAGACCGAAGAGCTGGCAGCTACCTCGGACAAAGAATTAGTCTAGCTGTGGTCTAGCTATTCAAAGGGGGAACGCTGCCAGTATCTTCGGAACCTTGCCTAAAGGGACTCCTTTTAGTAATATACCGATTTTAGTTATTCTATTATATTTTTTAAGGTTTTTTAGTTTAAGGTTCATTGTTCCTGTATATATTAAAGTACAATAAAAACATATCCGACACCTGATAAAATTTAATAAACATTGGTGAAAGTATTATAAAGTAGGTGGTTTGCTTTTTGCTAATATTGTAAATATCCTTTAGTTACTCATATTTCTAGGGTGCCAAACCGTACTTTGGAGATTTAAGATTATGCTTTTGTGATTAAGAGTTATTATATTTAATTTGAATACAATAATCATTGAGACTAAATATTTTTTATTTATCACGTACCGATGCATTTTGCGTAAATGATATCAGAACTATATATAAATGCAAGTTAGGAAGGTTATTATTAGTTATTATATCTTTAAGTTTTAAATTATCAGACGATCGTAAATTAATGCTTATTATTCGCCTTTTTGTACTTGGTGTAAAATCCGAAGTTAATAAATTGCTACATATTATGAGCAGTAAAATAAACTCTTGCGTAAGTATAATTTTATTTGATTTTTTATGAAAAAAATTTATGAACAACCCGTGTTTTTACAAATATCTTTGTACATTTGTGAGCAGCAACTCAATATGAAAGGAGAAAATTCAGATTCGATCATAAAATTACAATAAAATCTACCGATGCGATCACATATGGTGAATTTCATTTTATGGCATGATAATGTTACAATAGAGACCTATTCCATGGCTCGAGTCCATATACTGCTAAGGTTATAAAATATTTCCCCTAGGGGAAAGTGATAAACAAATTATTCCATAGTAAGAAATTTTATAAGTGAAAAAGTAAATTTGCTTACCCAAAACCGGTCCAACGATGAACATGTATGCGAACATGATTAGAATGATTTGCATACGTTTGGTCCCTTCGCGGGATTTGAAGCCGACTTTGAGGGTCGCTACCAAATCATTTAGGGAGAACATCATAAGAACACTCTGTTTGTCACCATCGTCAACTGTCTTCTTAGTCTTTTCCTTGAGCCTCACAATAATGTACACGAAACCGGTAAGGTAAAATGCACTAGCCACCGAAAATACACCGTAGTAACCAAGCCGTTTCGTCATATAACCACTAAGGGCCAGACCAACGGGCCTAGCGAGAGTCAGCACCGCCGTCACGATGCCCAATCGAAAAGTTCGTTCGGATTCACTAGTTATATCCGTTATATAACTATATATAGCCATTGTCATGGCGACCCGTCCTCCGGCTAAAGCAGGAGGCAGGCCTTCTATAAGCGCTGTTTCATTCATGCCTATTTGCAGGAAAAATACTGTACTAAGGATAATCCCTGCGATTGAGATTAGCTTGCCGAGTATCGGCAGCACCATGAATGCCTTCCTATTACCGGTGCGGTCGCTCCATGCACCCACAAACAGCGCTAGAATACCAGGCAAGGCTGTTTGAAGAGGGTAACTCCAAGCCGTCATCCCTGTGACCTGGATCTGTACGTTTCTTTCTTGTTCCGTGTAATTGTGTGTGCGACCCTGCATTATATGTCTGCAGGTCCGCTCGTCGTACTGAAGGTTGACGAGACATGATTTCTCCAAGCACAGGTTCTGCACCGCCAGGCCGGCGAGAACGCTCGGCAGGATATAGCAAATTACAAAGGGTTCAACTGTGATTTTAGATCTGAACGCCCATGATTTTTTTATATACTCCTTGACGCGCTTGCTGATTTTCGTTTCTGTTTTTGCCAGTTCTGTACCTAAGGACTTGTTACACTTGCACGGTTCTACGTTCACAACTTTTTCTCCGGGCACTTCGACCCGCAACGTCATTTTGACAACGCTTTTCCACCGTAATGTTCATTTGTTTTTCAGCATACCGGCGACATTGTTATTTGAAAATATAACGGCTGACTTATGGAACAAGAATAACACAGTTTTTTTATGAGCACTAGAATTCGTTATTATAAATTTAGTCGTATCGTTTAGTAAGCGGGCTATCGGCTGCGCGTACGGTGAGAGATTGCGCGGCGACGACGGCTGCGCGCGACTCTGGCGCAAGCACTGCGTATCAGCTGGCTGCTATGCTACTTTAATTTGTACTTTATCATTGTTATCACGTGGCTGCTGGGCACCCGACTACTCTCGTACTTCAATTTTAATTTGCTCCTTTACCTACTAGTTTATCACCGATTATTTTCCCAAACCTATTCTAGTTCAGGTTGCGAAACCAAATTTGTCATGGTCTGACATGAAAAAGTGCATAGTCCTATAAGGGTTCATTTCGGTGCATGAAATGGTATGCATAATATTTCAATTTCTGTGTCTCAATTATCCTTTTTTATTGCGATTTAATTCTTGAAATCATATTATGTAGAGTTAGTACATAATGTCGTCATAAGGATATGCGCCTAGTTTTGGGAGCAACAATTAATCTGAGTGCATTTATACGTTAAAAGGATAAAATTATCAATATGGCATTATTATATTTTTATTTTTAAGCATTTAACAGCTTAAGAAAATATTACTAAGAAAAATACTTGCTCGATGGCGCTGCCTTGCAGCTAAGATAAGCTGGAGAAAATTGGACATGGCCATTTTAAAAGTTGCATAATATTGTTTAGTGCATCTGCCCGGAAAGGCCCGAATAGCGGAAGATGCGGCACCGAGTGGAGTTTTTTGTAGTTATAGTTTTTTAGATTTAAATATGACATTATTCAAAAACGTTTATGCAAACTCAATCGAGTTTCATGTTTGCCATTATCATATACAAATTAGGGTTTAACTTCAATTTTTAACTTCTCAGTTTCTTCGCCGGTGCCCTGCGCCATTGTCTTCATTTACTATGGTCATTATAAGGTGAAGGCTACTTACCCAGAAATGCGCTATAATTCGACCTATTCCTTTGAAAATAGGCAGTGAGTACCTCAACTTTGGGGCAGCATTTTGCGTCATGTAATTCCATGAACATTTTTATATAGTCAGCTATGTATACATAAACACTTTTGATATTCATCGTCATTAAAATAATATACACATAGGTAACCTCAGATTACAGAACTGTAGATGGAACGCAGGGAACACGGTTCACCAAAATCTATGTATGAATGAACTCGAGCTCCTGCGAACTTCCGTCAACTTCCACTAATCCGCACTGAACTCACGTGTTGGGTTAAGGCTTATCCTCACTATTTGATCCATAGAGAAGGCCTGTTCCCCTGCAGTTGGTGCCCCAACTGAACCTTATCACAAAAATGCTCTACAATTTTAACATCTTAATATGAAAAACCTTGAAATGAAAAAAAAAAATTTAAGTAATTCTTAGTGTGAGGCAGGGTACAGCGAATTTTCTGCTCGAAGTGGAGCGCCCGACTGGTGAAGCAACCGCCACCTTACATAAGATCGCAGTAAAATAAGACTACCATTTGTTATTTTGTTAGTTCAACAATAACCACACTATTCCCGTTAAGAGAGGCGTATGGCAAGGATATCGCCTTGCATACCTGGAAGATATATTTAAGCTCCCCGAATGTTCTAATAGGGGTATCAAATAAATCGGAAAGCGCTGAACTCATTTGTGATTCGCTGATGACATAACAGGTTTTGCTATGACTCCAGTGTATAAAACTAAAATCTATGTTGCAGGAACTCTATGATGTCTCGATAGCGGTTAGCCTTCGCATGAAAACCTCAAAAACAAAGATAATGTGCCAAGACCCATCTATAAAATATATATCATTAGCATAAAATCGTATCAAACGGGTGGTGGACTATTTGTATTTGGGGCAATTCATTATATTCGCTAAAAGCGAAATTGTCCGCCGCCGGACTAGGTTGGGCAGCATTCAGCAAATTATCCTAAATCTTCAATAGTAAGATGCCATACTTCCTGAAATGTCGCGTGCACAGTCAATGTGTTATTTCTGTTTTGACTGATGGAGCAACCTGGACTATGACAAAGCAATACGTCCATACCATGCAAGTCGCTCAGAGAAAAATGGACCTTACCAGGCTCGCAATGAGGATATACGGAAGAGAACAAAACTTCAAGACGTTGCTTGCGAACTTACAGGGAAGAAGTGGAAGTGGGCAGGACACGTGACTCGCAGAGTAGACGACAGGTGAAGTCGAGCTATTGTGGAGAGGCAACTTAGAACAGGACGCAAAACGTTGGCAGCCTGCCGGATTGTGATATCACCAAAGTAGAAGCAAGAAACTGCATCCGGATCGCACAACACAGAGCAAATTGGCGCTCCATGGAGGAGACCTATATATACCCAATAATGGGTAGATAAAGGTTGAAGAAGAAGAAGAAAAACTTTGGTGGTTTTGTATTTCTGCTGATGAATACGGTTCCAGGAGCTTCGCAGGGTAGGGGATTGGGTAGTCTCATCAAGATCATATATCTTCGTGACTGGACCCCACTTACACTTAACATCAGGTGGAGTGAGGTAATTTATTGCGCCTCGTATAAAAAAATGACATAAGTTTAATAATTAATAACCTTCTAAATAATAAAGTTTATTTAATTAAAGTAGGTAAATAATCGAAAACGAAACGTCAATAAATAAATAAACCAGTGCATCTATACCGTTGCAACTTGTATTTTTAAGTGAATAAAGTTTATTAAAAAATCATGCGCTTTAATATGATTAATTTATATTTTAAAATGCATTAATATTAAAGCGATTATTAATACCGTGGAAATCATAATAAATTACTTAACTTGCATGAAACATTTGTGGAAAATTTTCGCTTACTTCACGGAAACTCCCAGCCACTGAATGAACAATACTGTACAGAAATAATAGGTATTTATTTAAATGAAAAAGACATCATATTTTTGAAGTAGGTTAAAAAAATATTGTGACTACATGAAGTATATATATCTATCTTCTACATGACTACTTGAGCAGTGATAGGAATCTCGAAAGGAGTGTAAGTAATGACGACCTCCGTGGCCGAGAGGTTTTCATGGTGTCGCCGACTCGAGAGGTCCCGGGTTCGAATCCCGGTGGGGGCAGATGGTTGTGTGATGAACACGAGCATTTGTCTCCAGTCATGGATGTTAAATATGTATTTCTATATAAATATACTTATATATGTACTGTATATGTATTCTATCCGTTACCCTAGCATCCCATAACACAAGCCTTAAAGTGCTTACTTTGGGGCTAGACTAATTGGTGTGAGTGTTGGAAATATTTATTTATTTATTATTTATTAATATTTTTGGGCACAAATCCCAATGCATCTTCTTCTAACGTTAGGTAGGGAAGTAATGTGTAGCACCTTTTTATATAAAAAAAACTCCTCTGCCCTGTGGTTAAACCCGCGTAAATTTGAGAAAAAGAGTGCGACAACCATAATATATAGACAATGCTTTTGCGGATTTTTTCAATCCGCAAAAGGACCAATCCGCACTGGGCCCGCGTGGTGGGTCATGGCCCAATCTCCCTATTCCATCCATAGGGAAGGCTTGTGCCCCAGCAGTGGGGACATTAATAGGCTGATGATGATGACCGCTTCTATTAGTAGTTGCATGATGTTATATAGCCTGTAGTCTTCCTCGATAAATGGAAAGTCCAACACAAAAAAGAAGTTCCTGATTAGCGCGTTCGAATAAATAAATAAACCTTAGCGCTGTAAGAAATAAACTTTTCAGATTTATTATATTAAAACAAAAATAAAATATTGTATAACTGCATTGTAGTTAGTTTAAGAGAATCGGACAGAAACTTAACAATTTTTATGGATAAAAATTATTCTTTGTTTTAATCCAAGTCATAAACTATATGCGTATTAAATTACATCCAAATCCGTCTAGTAGTTTTTACGTGATTGAGTAACAAACGTACTCGCACAAACCTACAAACTTTCACATTCGATATAAGTAGAATAGTATATGTATAGATGTCATCATAACTTCTTAATGCCTTAAAAGTTTTATTTGTATGGATAGAGTATTGTTAGAATCGTTTTAGCATCCCCAGTAAAGAAAATACCTATTTAAAAAAAATTTGGAGTGGCCGGATTTTTCAATTATTGTTTTTACTCTAAAAAATCCTGTGACTATAAAGACTTGTTTGAACTTTCCATTTTCTATTTCAGTTTCATCAAAAATAAACCAACCCGCCTGCAGTGCTACGCGTTTCCCATATGGATCAGTACGTGACAATTTTACATAATAGCACTGCTTATGTTTGTTCCAATAATTGTAAGTTTAATCCAATTGTAACGATAGCTGAAGGCGTACATAACAGTTAGCAAAACTAACGTTAAAACTTTATAATAAAGAAATTATTGTGTTTGATAGTTTACTATCATACATCATACATATTTGGAATCTAAAACGTGGAGTTGGCCGTAAAATTAAAATTTGGAACATATAGAATCATGCCAGGATGACTTAAATAACATGCCAATAAAAAAATCTTTCTTGAAATATTCATTGAAATAGAGAAAACAATCTAAAGTGCCCGTATTTATAAATTTGTGTTTGATAGTATACTATCACACATCTTTGGAATCTATAACGTGATTCGTGTCTGTATGTTTGCACGGAGTACACTAAAGCATTGACGACCTCCGTGGCCGAGTGGTTTGTACGCCGGGTTTCATGGTGTCGCGGAATCGACAGGTCTCCCTGGTTCGAATTCCGGTGGGGGCAGATGTTCGTGTGATGAATACGAGCTTTTGTACTCCAGTCATGGATGTTTAATATGTATTTCTACATAAATATACTTATATATCTACTGTATATCTATTCTATCCATTACCCTAGTATCCCATAACACAAGCCTACGGTGCTTACTTTGGGAGGTTTTTTTTAAGCGGTTATCCCCAATTTGTATCAAGTCTTTTTTATCTTTGTTTGTAACTTTTAGTATATTTTTATTTATCATGCCTGTTCTTTTGCATGTTTTGAGTGCTTATTCTTTTGCACATCTTTCTTTTTTTCTTTTTTTTTTTTACTTATACAATTGTATACTTATTTCTATTTATCTACGCACACTTATTTTTACATATTTCATTCAATTTATACATTATTTATTTT